CTTTTTAAATAGAAATAGTAAAAGAGAAATCTGTTATTTTGTGAGCTGCCGGTCATTTAGGATTTTGATGTTGTGTTACCGGCAGTCCGCCGTGTTGGTTGAGATTTTTCTCGCAAAGAATAATGTCTCTACAGTACCATGAAAGTTTCAGAAATGTTGATTATGTTGTTTTAACACTTTAAATAAGAATAATAAAAGAGAAATCTGTTATTTTATGGGCTGCCGGCCATTTAGGATTTCGTTGGTGCGTGGCCGGCAGTCGGTTCAAGTTCGCACAATGTCTCTAAGTGCAATGAATTTCGGGACGACGTTTATGTAAGTTTTAACACACTCATTTTACTCGTACAGTTTTATTTTGGAGTTTGGAAGCTCGTTTAGATAATAAGAGAGGGAAAAAACACATTTTATGGCCTGCCGGCCATTTAGCATTTTCAAGACCTTGACCGGTAACCGGCCATATAGACACAGCGATTATTATTTGTCTGTTTTTCAAGTTTTAAAATGGGACTATGTATTTTTTGCTATAGTTACAATTGTAGCTTCAGGCGTTGCTCGTTCTGAATTTTTATTTTTTTTATTTTTTTTTAGTCAACAAAAACAAAGTACAAGCGCGCGTCTGAAGTCCTAAAAAAGTTCTTGCAAAGTAAACATATTTATGTGGCTTTATAAGTCAATTATTCTCAAATATTTTTGCAAAGTGTGCTTTTAGTAGCTTTGGAACCAGAGATGTCTCACAAGCAAAACGTTTTCCTGTCAAGTTTCTTCTATTTTTAAATAACATATGTTTGAATTGGTGTTTCAAAATTCTGGAGCGTTTTCGTAGCAGTACCCCTTAAACATTAATCATTTCATCATTGCTAATTCATTCCTATCTTCTCTTTAGGTGCTTTTTTAATTCCATATGTCTTCTGCTTAGCATTCCTCGGTATTCCCATATTCTTCTTAGAACTCGCCATCGGCCAAAGCGTCCGTCAAGGCTCGATTGGAGTATGGAACTATATTCACCCCTATCTGGGAGGTGTCGGGATAGCAAGTGTAATTGTGTGCTTTTTAGTGGCTGTGTACTACAACATGATCATCGCCTGGTGTTTCTATTATCTATTTGCGTCATGGCAAGACCCTCTACCATACGCTGCTTGTCCAGAGATCACTGTTAATGGTACTAATGGATCCATCTGGTTACCAGAATGTCAGTTAGCGGGTCGTACCCAGTATTATTGGTACAACACGGCATTAGGAATCACATCAGATATAGGAGAGAGTGGTATTATCCTATGGCCTATGGCTCTGTGTTTATTGCTGGCCTGGCTTGTGGTATTCCTGTGTATGATGAAAGGTGTACAGACTGCAGGAAAGGTTGGTGTTCAGGTTGTCTAGTTCGGCCATAGTTAGTAGAGTCTCCTCTGAACTAATTATCGTTCGGCGAGTCCTATCCGACCATATCGAGCGGGAGAATTCCCTCCCGGCAAGAGTGCCTCACATCTTCATTGTAATACAAAGTTTAGATTTCTTTTGTGTGTGTTAGCCCGTGTCACATCCGGAATTTTCTCCAAAAAATCCGAGAAAATTGTGACACAGGCTATGTGTATGTGTGTGTGCATAATTTTATAAATTATATTTGTACATATCTAATTTATACTGTAAATATGCTGTTCTTTTACTGGTCTGACTGCAAGGGTTCTTATAATAAACTAACTATAGTATTTGCTTCTTAATGACTGTTTATTATTGTTTTGTTGATCACTCGATTTCGTTGACAGGCGGTGTATTTCACAGCAACGTTCCCTTACCTTGTTCTCATTATTTTCTTTTTTCGTGGAGTCACATTGGATGGAGCGGGGCCTGGTGTCGCTCACATGTTTAAACCACAGGTAAAGTTTTGTTCTATATTGTTTGTTTGTCGAGTATATTGTGGAGTATGAGGTCGTCACAGGATCATAATAAAGGCACAAATAGTCGTAGCCGGTGCAGAAGAGTGGGCAGGGTCGCCATGATTTGTTTTTTTGTCTTTTTGTTTGTTTTTTCTAAGGTTTAGTAAACATTGCGCGCAAAGATAATAAAATAAAACGATTATAGATAAGCGATTCAATAAGATAACCGATGCAATGTCATAATAGAAGGAAGGCCACCTCTAGAGTTAACATTGACCTTGTAAAATTCTATTTGTTTTATTTTCATATAGTTTGAAAAGCTACAAAATCCGCAAGTATGGCTGGAGGCTGCCACTCAAATCTTTTACTCGTTGGGCGTGGCATTTGGTGGCTTGATTGCCATGTCTAGCTACAATCCAGTACATAACAACTGTCGACGAGACGCCATTATGGTGTCGCTTATCAACTGTGGCACGTCGATTTTTGCCAGCATTGTTATTTTCTCGATTCTAGGATTTAAGGTAAACTGAATGATTGCAACAATTCCGGGATGTTGTTTCTCTGTACTGCGTGACAGGCACGTGGTCACCAAATGGACAAATGATCCACGTAGCAAAATCAGTAAAAAGTGTATTGGGGACGGGATGCATCAAAATGTACTTATGAGTACAACTCATTCAGGCAAATTTGACAATCAGCAGAATTCATGGGCTTCTGTTTTCTTTTCCATTTTGCGACCTCGCTCCTAATTTTTGGAAGCGTCATTTGTGGACTAGGCTGATATATCAATAACTGAAAAGCCAACCATTTCAAAATTCTTGCTTGATGGCGACTCCTTGACATATATATTGATATAAATGTATTATTTAAGAAATATAAAATGGCGCGCGTGTCTCTGTCCTCTGATATAAACACGGTGGAAGTTGGAAGAACACGAGCGTAGCGAGTGTTTCTCTTGTTTCTCGAGTGTTTTTCAACTCCCACCATGTTTATATCAGAGGACAGAGACACAAGCGGCCGTTTTCTATTTCTTTTATAAAATTTTTCGAGCAAAAGCAAATTTTGCTGGTAAGCCGTGTCTCTGTCCTCTGATATAAACACGGTTGTCAGGCAATCAGAGTGCGCGTTATATATCAAAAATTTTATAAATAATTATACAAGTTTTTATTCCTTAGCATCTTTTCTCGGTATTTAGTTATGCTGTACTGCTGTGTACTGTGTTGCTTACTCTATCTTGCCGTGTTTTGGGTCATGTTATGAATCGGTCATGCCGTGCTGGGCAAGTGTTTCTCAATGTTTTCCAAAGCTTGTCTTTTGCTCAGCTTTAGTTCAACTAATAGACACCCTTATTACAGGCGCACAAGTCATTTGAAGACTGTAAAACTGACTTTTACAAGAATGTCACACTCTCCTCTGCACCAAATCAAACCATAACAGAAGCGTGTCATGATTTAGAAAAGTGGCTGTCAGAGGTAAGAATATATTTTTTTTTTTATACAATACATTAAGATGAAGCCCGTCCAGTCAATCACCCCATGACCAGGTGAGTTATTACTTATTATTACTTATTATTACTTATTAGTCAGCGCAAGGACCAGGGTTAACATTTATCGCGTTCACGGAAGCCATAGTGAAAATGCCAGCATCTCAGCTGTGGGCGACATTGTTCTTCTGTATGTTGCTTACCCTTGGTCTTGGTAGTATGTTTGGTACGCTGGAAGGGGTTATTACACCTGTTTATGACTTGAAGCTTGTCTCGTGGAGAAAGGAGTTTGTCACTGGTAAGTTCGTGCTAATTTTTGTATTTTGTATTAAACAATTGCTAAAGGAAAGCTATTGTTCTCACCGCGGTCGTCAGTGGTATGTCCACTCAGTCCTATCTGTGTAGAGTTGCATAGAGAAAGGCATTCTGTATTTTATAAGCAGCACTAGTTTCTTTTCCTTAAAGACTCGCGTGCATCCAAGAACTCTTACATACGAAAATTCGCCATGTTTGTTTTTTAAYCAATCAGGAATCACCTTTTAATAAGCTGAACAAACGATCTCGGCTCTTCGATGCACGTTGTCCTTGATGATGTGCAAATCTGATATTATGGTGTATGTTTGTTTAGCCTTTATTTGCGTCATGTCATTCCTGGTTGGACTAGTGTTCTGCCAGGGGTCTGGTGAATACTGGCTCCAGATGTTTGATACGTTCTCTGGAACTCTTCCTCTCCTCGTGATTGGGTTCTTTGAGTTGATTGGTGTCAATTGGATATATGGAGCAAAAAGGTAAAGCTTTGCAAACTGATTTGGGTTTGATAATAAAAAATGTCGGTATTAAATTAAGTTTTCTGTCTGAAGGTTTGAAGATGATATAGAGTTCATGATCAGTGACAGACCTGGCTGGTATTGGARGATTACCTGGCGATTCGTAGCACCATTCATTGTTGGTGTTATTATTATCGCTAGTCTTGTTAACATGTTCTTGACCCCGATAACATACKCCGCATGGGACCCCAAGTCGGTAAGTTTTGTCAGCCTTTGAGATTATTATATTATTATTACTATTATTATTATTATTTGTTACTTACTACTGGACCCCCCAATACAGTGTGCAATGATCCCTAATGACGTATGTAAGGGTGTATATATTTGTATTGTTCTGCATTATAATCCTGCGAAGAAATTTAAACGTCTTTATGTGAACGCGCTAGAAATATTCAATTTTCCTGCTTTAGGCCGATGTCGTGGACACAGTGTACCCCTCTTGGGGATTTGCTGTCATCGCTCTTCTGATTCTATTATCGACCCTCGCTATTCCTGCTCTTTTTGTCTTGAGGCGATTTGGTTTTGTCAAAATGGATGTTTCCAAACCAACGGGTGACGTCATACCCCCTGGAGCCTTGACTCCCAACCTGTCACGTGCTCCTATTGCTCTAACAGAAGAACCAATGGATGGCACGGATAACTTAAGCTTAGAACAATAGAATATTTTATTTGAACATGCAGGCCTCATCCGCACGCCATCAGGTAAACAAYTATCTGTATTCTGATAAACAATTGCAAGAAAAACATGAAGAGTACAGCAGTGTTTTTAATATTATTCCTTTGTAGGAGTGGAATAGTTAAGTTGTAAACGTCAGTCCTCTTAGTTTTTCCTTTTTTTTTTTGACTTTGTAAAACATTTTCATTTTGTTACAGTGCCTTTTTTGCAAGATATTATTGGCGAAAACTATGATGTTTAGTAGTATTAAACTGCCATTTTGTGTCGTCATATTGTAGCAAAACCTACCGTTTAAAAGCTGTGTGGAATATCTTACTTTTCAGTAATTCTATCACGTGACGTGMAAAAGCGTTGTCATGAGAAAACAAGGCATTTATACTTCATTAAGTGGAAAAGGACATCCCTCAGTCTTAACTCCTTTCATTGTCATTTCTTTTGCTCTAAAGTACAAATTTTCTGACAACGGTTTTGCAATTGTAATTGCATTGTCGGCTGTTTACCTGGTGAGGTGGTGATGRGATTGAAGCCAGTATGATTTATATTTCGCAGTCCCGATTATAACACATTTTAAATGATTTGATTTGATTTAATTGTTGCACTCCTAGACACTATTCAGTCATTAGTGTGTCTTAGCAACGAAACGTCCAATTGAAATTATTGACTGCGCTGTTCATATCAAGGTAAAAAAACGTGCTTACAGCAGCACAGACTCTGGCAAATCATATTCACATTTTCATGGACGGCCTGGGGTGAGCATCAAAGTGAGGCTACCTCAAGGTTTTCTGCCCTGAGCAGCTTACTGAACAAGTTTGCTCGAAGTTGTCCCTTAATTTACAATTCTTGCCTAGATTTATAATGTTTGCAAATAGTTTTATACTTATATTTACGTTTGGATAAACCAGTTTTGGGGATATTAATTAGTGCTTATATTTACGAATTAGCGAATATATTTAAGGTGGGACTAGTTCGTGCCCCTTAACACATATAATATGAATTAATATTACAACAGACTTTCGGGCCATCACAGTGTAATATTGGTTGAAAACATGATTAGAAACAGAAAGTGCACGCTCTCTTATAACGAAATCATCATCATACTTGGGATATTGTCGCGTGCACTTGCTAAATTTCCTAAAGTTTKATATAAAATAATACTTCTTTATATTCATTGAATGATTGATAGTTTTGTATGATTCATAGTTACAGATCAGTAGCCTTAATGAACTTTTAATAAAAACATTTGTAATGGACGTTCACAAGGTTGTACCGTTCTACTTAACGGTACAACCTGAATAAAAATTAAATGAATTCCTAACATTTGTGTTTACTCAATTAAGTAATTTTTTTATGATAAAAGCACGTTTTTTCTTTTGCTCTCCGTGTTCGTGCTCCAACTTCTAGGAAATGATTTGAATTAACCTCATGGGTCACATGTATTTCCCGCGCTTTGTGGCTTCAATGAAAAACATTAATATTCATGCCCTTTCAAATGTTAGTGCGCCACGTAATGCTCCGATAGTTTTGTTCACTTTGAATGCAGCTGTGTTTTCTCTGGTTTTAAGCTTCGTTCTATCGCGAGAAAGCCCTCAAACACACTTTTTCTTGGAACATCTGCTTAACTTTTTGCGTTAAATATCTCTAAATGGCACGAGCGGAACGSTCAGCTGATGGCGAAATCGTAGTTTCTCTAGTAGACCACCGAGAAAACTCTGGAAACAATGTTGACAAAGAATCTCCAACTGTRTTACTCCAACAAGAAGAGCGCGAAGGATGGGGAAGTAAGATTGAATATCTTTTAGCCACAATTGGGTTCGCTGTTGGCTTTGGTAATGTGTGGAGGTTTCCTTATCTTTGTCAGCAATATGGTGGAGGTTAGTATTTTAAGGCGAAATTGTTATAATGCTACTAACAAATTATATTAATTTATTTGAAACTGTAAAATGTTAAAAAGGTTTTCGTATTAATTTTCTGTTTAATGATGAAAAAYTATCAACATTGAATTTGGAACAATTTGCGAACAGTCTTTACACCTCGCTGCTTTATGCGTACGTTGATCAATCTTTGAAGTTGCTATCGATTTCCCAATATCTGTCTTTAATTCAGACAACAATAGTTCTTTTGTTTTTTCGGAGTTTAGCCTGTTTATATATATAAAGCTTTATTCACGATAAATGCTTGAAAGCTAGGTTTTGTTTTGGTTTTTTGATCCAATATTCATATTTCCACGTGTTTCTATGTTTACAATATGGGTGACCTTTTTGTCGATCAAAAATAAAAAAAGATTTCTTGTCGTCTGCTAGTAACTTAGTAGTCAAAAACGAGTGCATTCAAATCAAATAGAATTTTCRCATTTTCGTTAATGTTTGTGGTGTTTGGAAGATAGTTTTAATCATTTTTTTAGCTTTTCGAAAGCGGAAGGAAAAGATCAATAGACGCCTACTCAAGCACGCACTTCGAAAGAAAATATTCGACAATAACAAAACATTTCGAATCGGGCGGCGTTCAACTCTACCTGTTTTCTACCTGTTATATGGCCTGTGGTACAGTTGTTTCATCCGTAAAACAACATTATAAAAAGAAAATAGCTTTAGAAGCGTTTAATATTAACACTGATGTATAAAACTGAGTGACTTATTTCCTTGTAGTATTTCTACTACGTCGTAACTTATTTTGTTTAACCTCTGTTTGCTACATCTTACTACATGGGATTCGATTAAAGCGCACATCACGTCCTTTAGAAAGTCGTTTTTGTCCAAAAGGCAACACGCAATTCTATGAAGCATTTTTGTTGCGACTGGCCATGACATATTATGATCGCTCATTTTATCACTAAATCAAAAACAAATGAAAAAAATGAAAAACGTCTAACCCAATTGACCTTAGGGCACTTTTCTTTTATCGTGGCTGGCAGTTGGTCATACCMAACGAAAAATCACTACAGTCAGAAGAATCAATGTCTCATCCATCAGTATCATGAAAACCTGCAAAATTACTGAAACATCTCAACAAAATGCATTATTATTATTTTGAATATATGGGTCAATTGCTAAATGAGAAGCGACTTTTACTTTTTTAGTAGTTATGGCCATTTTATTTGCATTTCCCATTTGCCTAGGCAACTGTCAGAAATTACCATTAAAAATCTATTTTTTTTCTTTGATGTGTAGTACTTTTGGATATTATGYTTTTCTGAAAGGCATCACATGCCACTTTAATTTTGTTGATAATTTGGAAGTCCCAGGGTTGGAAGTTCATATCATTCTATTTTTGATGAAAGTTAAATCTAAAAATTGAAGACTCTTGATATGTTTCTTGCTAATAATCACTGAATTGATTACAACAAGCCCAGGGACATAAGTAGGGGTTTCTAGCTTTTTAAGACTAACAAAGGTGATTAAACTAGAAAATCTTCATGATRTTATGGTTTCACACTGAACARTCTGGTTGTGAAAATKTGTTGGTACCCTATTGATTTGKCAAATAGAGGCTGATATTTCAAAGACTTTGTCTACCAAGGAAGGGCAGGAAGGAAGGTCTTGATCAAAAAACTAAAACTCCATTCTCATATCTATAGCTGCAATTGATTGAMCYATGACCATAATCCCATGATCTTAATCCAAATGCTTGATCTTGATTTTCTTTCCCACAGGAGCATTTTTGATTCCCTATTTCGTAAGTCTTCTCTGTATGGGRATTCCATTGTTCTTTTTGGAGCTTGCTATTGGTCAGAGTATTCGTAAAGGATCCATTGGTGTTTGGAACCATATCCATCCCTACCTGGGAGGTGTGGGGATTGCTTCAGTTGTTCTCTCCCTACTMATCAGTATCTATTACAATGTACTGCTTGGATGGTGCTTCTATTATTTCTTTGTGTCGTTTCAAAGTGAACTGCCGTACTCTTCATGCCCACAGACCAATGGTAATAATGATTGTGATAACATATTGACAGTGAAAATTATTATGATTAGATTGAATAGAACAAATAAGTCCTGATAACAATGTCAATCCAGGGGGGATCCAGCTGGTGGGTGCAGGGGGTGAGCACCCTCCCCCCTGAGATCTGTATCGTTCAATACTTTCCTTATTTTTTATCTTCATGGCAATGATTTTTTGTGCCGGTTGCACCCCCTACTAAGTGCCCCGCACCCCTTCCTGAGGAAAATCCTGGATCCGCCCCTGCAATCCCCATTAAACCCCCCCCCAAAATCCATGAAAAAATATAACATAGATTAAGTCAATTAGTAAAGACAAGCCCACCCCTAGATAACTGAATGAAACCAGCCCATTAGAGTTTTTGTAGGAAAAAATCTAAAGCTAAAATTCCCAATCTAAAAATACATGAAAGTCAATTATAGCATGCTTATTGACAGACCATTAAGAACACAAAACACTAGTTATGATGTTAACAATGACGATAGTAATAATGATGGGTACTTATGATTTCAATGATGATGTCTCAAATAATAATGATGAAAGTGATAACAGCAGTAAAATGATGATGATGACGATGCATTGAGATGATAATGATGACAGTAATGGATGATGCAGTGTCCTCGATGATGATAATGCTATTAATGATGCGTTGTCATTKCAGGGACAGTTCTTCCAGAATGCCAATTGGCTGGTAGGACCCAGTACTTCTGGTATAACAAAGCAATCAATGTTTCACCATCAATTGAAGAAGGTGGTGGACTATTATGGCATCTTTGCCTGTGTTTACTGCTGGCTTGGATCATCGTCTTCTTGATCATCATGAAGGGGGTTAAATCCGGTGGAAAGGTAAACAGCATTTTAACAATAATAAGGGGAGACCAGGAAAGGAAACCCTTTTTGACCATGTGATGTATTTTATTTAGTTTTAACTGGAGAAATAATCTTTTTTTCTAATTTTGTCAGCATGAGCACTTCATTGTCACTCAATTAAGATTTACACTGCATGGTCTGATAACAATCGATCTCTGTCAATAACAATGTCATTGTCATTGTTACAGGCTGTATACGTCACGGCTACCTTKCCATACATCGTGCTAACGATATTCTTGGTCCGCGGGCTCACTTTGGATGGCGCTTTTGACGGAATCAAGCACATGTTTACACCACAGGTATSTCATCGTTCTACCTTCAGATAATACAGTTATTTTACTATACACACTAAATCCCTTTTCCCTCATGATGGAGAATCAAAAATTAAACGAGGAAAACAGAATTTGGGATTGAAGTTAATGTCTTTATTGTTTCTTCTCTTCTTTTTTTTCTTTTTAATTGTGGCTTTTAATTTAGTCTATTGCCATTTGTATAAATTCTAATAAAAGTATATCCATCTCCTCCTTAGTTTGACAAGATTCTCGATCCAATTGTGTGGTTAAAAGCTGCTACCCAGATTTTCTTTTCTCTGGGAGTTGGGTACGGTGGACTTATCGCCATGTCCAGTTACAATGCGATTCAYAACAACTGTAGACGGGACGCGGTTGTTGTATCGTTGACTAATGGCGCGACTTCCTTGTATGCCACGACAGTCATCTTCTCGATTCTAGGATTTAAGGTACGATATAACTTGAATTAGTCCGTCTTGATTGACTCTAGCCGCTCGAGACAATTGCATCGTAAAGGATACTGGGAAAATGCGTAACGACGGCATTTTGTACAATAAAGCATGATGGGTGATGTAGTCCTTGCACTGTTGAAATACTCCTCCAAAACCGTTTTTGTATCTTCTTTACAGAAACGACAAAATTGATAGTATTTTTTCCAAGATAAATACAACAGGAAAATGGGGATAAGAAAAAGCGGTAAGGACTACACCGTCATGCTTTGCTGGCGAAAGTGACGTCACTGCATTTTACCTATTTATACTGCGGACCTGAACTAGTTCGGTTTTTGACAAGTTGAGAAGAATAGGACATGTCAACGGTATGTGATAGATATCTCTCGTGCTAGAAGGCATTCCCTTTTCCTTTTCGTTCTCTTTCGACACCACGCGTCTCATTTGTCGGCAATAAGTGTGAATGATTTTGTCATAATTATGACTATTCGCTCGGCACGATTTCTGGGCCGATTCGTATCATCCTTTGTTAACCCATCAGGAATATCTATCTATAGGCTCATCGCTCATACAACGATTGTCTAGACAAGTACGGAGGATTAAACAACACTAACTTAGCAGCGAATVCGACCGTCGAGGATATGTGCCATGATCTTGAACATTGGCTATCGGAKGTATGTCTTGTGACGTCATAGTAACATCATAATGTTCTTGGGGTTGTGACGTCATGACTGACCAAAATTGAAATTCTAWGAAAATACGTCATTCGATGCGTCATATATATGATATCTACCAATATGTTTTGCCTACATTTTTATGTAATTTCATTAGTACCTGTTGTTTTACTTATTTTCAAAGGAAAATACAGACTGCATGTATTGTTAAGGTTGTCAACTTGAAATAGACATTTCATATACAAACTTAATGAAAACATGCATCACTTTCCGGCGAACAACCTGCTGYATGTCGAGGTTGTAGCTTGTCGTCGTACCATCGTGCACACTGTCTGGCCTTGTTATAAATGATAATAATATAAACTTCACAGAATTAATTACCCGGCCTGTCCGTAGGGGCCCCCGAGTCAGCCTCATGAGATTGAACATTTGAAAAAACTTTMACAAAAACACACAATTTTGCAATTATCATGAACTCATTCATATAAACTACTGACCATAATTTGACAGGMAGCTCAAGGACCAGGTCTGACGTTCATCGCGTTCACAGAAGCGATCGTCAAGATGCCTATATCACCGCTGTGGTCTGTACTGTTTTTTGCTATGCTKYTGACACTTGGTCTCAGCAGTCAGTATGGCATACTCGAGGGMGTGGTTACTCCCATCTATGAAATGAAAATCGTCCCATTCAGAAAAGAGATACTGTCGGGTAAGGATATTTAACGATATGTATTTGTTAATCTACAAGAAAGATACATATGTGAGGTGGCGGAAAAAACAGTYATTTTAGTATCGCAATGTTCTATGGCGACATTATATCTGAATGGATGAATGCAATAKATATGAATCAGTGTACATCAGTCTTACTAATCGTCGTTTGTTTTGTTCAGCATGTCTTTGTGTGGTGGCATTCTTCGTTGGTCTTTTGTTCTGTCAAAGGTCGGGCGAATACTGGCTCCAAATGTTTGATTCATTCTCAGGACCGCTGCCTTTGTTAGTCGTTGGTTTGTTYGAGTTGATTGGTGTAAGCTACGTCTACGGTCTAAGAAGGTCAGTACATCGATATTGCTTTATATGTTCTCTAGGTGCGAAAATTATTGGACCTTAGCTTGTATATATACCTATTTCAAAAAACATTTTCGGGGAGAACGGCGAACGGCGGTTGTCAAAGGAGATTGCATGACCGAAAGAAATTATGGTTACACTGTTTTGATAAACAAAACTTCACTTATTAGATTCATCTTGCAAAGAAATGGAGACTAAATGGAACCAATGTTTACCAGAGGCTATCTTACAGTATAAATCAGTTGTTATTTGTCATTAATTGGCAAAACACATAGCTACTTGTCGTACAACCTTTTTCGAAATAGGTATATACACAACCTGTGTGCTAAATGATAAAAWGAACCCATCATGACGTCACGGTGAGAAAAAGAGTAAGCCTGGGGATTTGTACTTTCAGATTCGAAAATGATGTCAAGTACATGATTGGCTCACGACCTGGTTGGTACTGGAAGATCACGTGGGGTTTTGTAGCACCGCTGGTTGTGTCAGTAATTATTATTACTAGTATTGTGAACCTGGGTATGAACGCCATCTCGTACTCCGTATGGAACCCTGAACGGGTATGTCCACCTCCACTGGGGGTATATATTGTAATCGCTTTATTGACTATCCAAAGCCTAACCCCTAATGAGGATGTATTGCTATCGGCGGCATTTAACTATTAATTTGTTTCAATAGGCCAAAGCAGAATCCAAAGACTACCCCTACTGGGGGTACATTGTCATCACCTTTCTGATTGGCTCGTCGTGTTTGTTCATTCCATTGGTATTTGTATTGCGAGTCAGCGGTGTTCTCAAGTATAAAAGAAATGATTCGTCTCCAAAGACAGACATTTTGGTGTCTAGGAACGGAGACAATCATTTCTACTAATCCTACCCGTCATTACTCACTGTACATATAGCTCCWATATTCACCTAGMCTCATTCACAGGCAACTGGAATTTRATATGGGTTATCATTACGATAGTAGTTGTTGGTCTTTAGGGGATATCAGTCTGTGGAGGAGGCTAGTGGATGTTCTAACCCTACAATACTTATATTTTTGTAAAACGAGAACACATTATAATATGGGCAAATAACYTATAATACGGACAGCTCTATATCGTATGAACAACTCCAGGAAACAAGGAGATCGATCGTTCTGTCCCTTYTGAAATYAGTGGCGGATCTAGGGTAGCATTACGGGGTCGTCTGCACCCATTTTCTTTGGTGAAACATGTTTTATAATTCAAGATCTGCCACTGAAAATATGGTGTTTACATCAGTTTTTCATAATGTCCATTGAGTCTTATCGTCTCATTATTTGTTCAGAGAATCGATTGCAATTTGAAGATAGCGGGCGGCCCATAATTTCTTACGGAAAACAAGATGGCGAATGTGTCGACAAAAACGCTTGAGCTAATTACTTTTCCAAAGAGGAAAAGCAAAACAAATTAACTAAATCCTCAAAACTACAAGTCGTACAAATGTTTACACAGACATCTAAACTATGCAATGCACGGCAAAGGCCCTGTTTACAGATAGGGTAGAGCCAAACTTTTTCCCTACAGGATTATATGTAAAACAAAAGAGTTTTACTCTTGTACCAGTAGGGGCACCCTTCTCACGTAAACAGGGCCTTAATTCTAGTTTTCATCGAACCTCTATTAAGCGGTCACGTTCGGGAAGTTGACCGCTTTATAGAGGTTAACAGTTTAATAGATGGTACGTTTTTATACTTAATATATATGAGAATCGATTTTTGGAGAATTCATGATTAATGGAGGGTGACCGGTAAATAGAGGTTCGAAGTCTTACACCACATCAATGCAAGATAGAAATTATAATATTCTCTATTCACATATTTTGGAAAAAAAGAGTGTTTTTTCTTTATTGTCTAATGTGTGAAGAAATGTGACCAAAAAACTAAACAAGTGGAATAAAATAAGAGATACAAGAGATAATCAATATAAGAGATAATATAATAGATAAAATAATAAATAATATATAAGATAAAATGTTCTTGACCAGCGACCTCGATTCCACCAGTGGATGGGCCGCCGGCAGGACTGGGATTGAAATATTCAAGTGAAATCTTCCAAGTAGTTTTTTTTTAAACTCGTGTGAAATACAATTTAGCGTGTTACGCTTTATTGTGCATTTGATTGTTTGTTTTTGTGTTTAACTATTTGAAGGTATTTGTTAGAATTACACAGTGACGTGGGCCGATTAGCGAGTACATGGTTCAAAACCTTTTTGAGTGTTAGAGTGAAGTCAATGAACCCGTGAAATACATATTTGACTATTACATGTTATTACTCGATAATTCCATTGTTTTCTTTTGTGTCTATTTGACTATTACAGTTTAATTATTAACTTTTATTTCACAGGATCAAATCCTTCACTCTATCTTCTAACAAGAGATATCTTCTAATCTTCTAATGATTTGTATGAAATAAACAACTCTTAGTTGAAAGCTGTTTTTTTATCTTCACTGCACAAAAGCACGTCTTTTTCAACAAATCATGCGATGCGTGTGTTATATGATTGTTATTGGACTTATTGCACGCATTATTACACCGTTTGACCATCACTATAAACCTGTGAAACAAAATCCAATTCTAGTAGTGATTGAAACAAAACRGACCCGTTTACACTTGTGATTTTTGCAGTGCGATTGTCGTGCTCGCAATAATCGCCACTTTGCTATCGCGCAACTAAAATCGTACGTGTAAACAGCSCTGCGATWGKTGCGGCCATGGAAGTTCGAAACTCAGGCGATGGGCGCGCGACGATCGCCGCGAGAATCGCTGTGCAAAAATCGCAAGTGTAAACGTGTCGTTAAGGTGTATAAGTGTAATACCCATTTCACGACAGCTATAATATAATTAATTTACATCTGACTCGCGAGTCATCGAACAAACTGCTTCACTACTGTTGGTCTGTAGTCCACAACGACTTCACGATCACCAACATCAGGTTAATCAAATAGCAACTCATTTCACAATTAATTCCAAGTCTATTTGTGTAGGATGTGGCAAATCTCTTGATAGACTTACAGAGGATATTACATGGGCGCGCGGATCACGGATTTTATCTTCGAGTGTTGAAAAGATTTTCAAAAACTCATTAATTATTCATGAGGTATTCAGCCAATCCCTGATTGTAATTTGTACCACGTGAAGTAACTTGAAACCAGAGGAAGTACTCGTACCTTGTATTCTACCTTATTTCCAGTTACTTCTACCTTTTTCAAGTTACTTCTACATTATTTCCAGTTATTTCTACCTTATTTCCAGTTACTTCTACCATGTTTCCAACTACTACTAGCTAATTATAATCAAATTATTAGAAATAATCAGTTTAACATTAATTTAGTGAAAAAATGTCTTTGATACATGACTCCCTCATGACTCGATYCCCTACCGTCCAGTCTATATGCGCCGTCTTATACCATTACACCACCGAGTTTCTGATGCRATTCCTCRGAAGATAACATACTTATAAATCTTATGRATTAKGCTCATTAGGAATGCCATGAATAGYAGACAAAGACAATTTGAATAGCTTTTGTTTCAGAAAGCCGTCCGGGAATTGAAGAACAACAAACGGTGCTTCATGTATTCAAAATTATGAAAACTGAAAACCTTAGTGGAGATGCAATAAATCAATATATTTCTGTTATATGTATTTCCTTCGCTTTTTTCCCCTCCCGAATAATTAATGAGTTTTTGAAGTCGTTCAAAGGCCTCCAATTCGGACTTGACGGGATTTCAAAGTCCTTGCAATTAGTTCCAGTCCTCGGCTAACGCCTCGGACTGGAACTAATTGCGCGGACTTTGAAACCCCGTCAAGTCCTCATTGTCGGCCTTTAAACATTACTTCAACACGAGAAGATAAAATTCGTATCTCCAAGCGAACATGTAATATTCTATTTATCACTAAGTGTATATGAAAGCAAATCATGTCGTAAAATAGCTTTTTTCTTACTTTCACTATATAGAGAAACCTCGAATGTGTTTAATATTTTCACTAGTGAAAATATTACGTTTACGAAATGGAGAAATACAGGTATTTCATAGATAATTATATGATAAGTTCTATTTAACAAGGGTAGATTGGACCTGGCTTCGCTTCCGCTTAGTGATCTCGCCCAGCCTAGTACGGGTCCCTCGCGGCATCAACACTCGGAGTCATTGTGCATCACCCACGCAAGAACTGACATCAGACAAGTATAGTTTAATCAGAAATTGGAACAATCTTCCGCAAGAGATAATAGACACCTGTAATATCATGCCAGTTTTCGCGGCAAAGATCTCCAGTTTTTTCACTTAATGTCAAACTAGGCTGTGCGATGCATGATTGTAGTTCATTGTCACATCTATTAAAGTGAAGTGAATCTCCGTTTCAAGAGATCCGTTTTAAAAAGATTGATAATTGGTGATAAATAGAATTGACAAAACAGGAAAGCTTTCCATTAATAGAATTACTCAATTGGTTGTCATAGAAAACCTGTCTTGATTTCATCATTTACTTACACAATCCGGCATTTATCGCCAATAGGTGTCGTCCTGGGATTTACGGGTAATATGTCGTATTATCGCCCCATGTAAGAGRATCCAGAGAACTACAGGATTCCGGGTTCCAAAGAATGTTGGATTCTGGATTCCAAAACTTGGAATTCCGTATTCCAGGATACGGATTTCGGACTCCGAAGCTGTTTTTTTACCGGATTCCGGATTCTCTTATATGGGGCGAGTATTCCTTCCTTCTAAGGGGTGAGTGAGGCGTTCATGCGATTTGAATTCACACAACAACCACAAGCACCTGTAAACTGACCTGTAATCCGACCAGTTAACATGGCAAGTACATGAAATTAATTCTTTACTTAACCAACAATGGAACTTGTAAGAGTAAAACGTCTAGTGATTATTATCGCCATCCTATCTATTCATATACACTATGCTCATAATTCGCTCTTTCACTGGGACAAAAACGATAACAGTAAGTATCATTTTCAATTATTTATCAAAACGTAATGAACTTTGAATTGCTTTTAGTTCAAAGGTGACCAACTGTCGTCTGACTAGTGGGCTTACATCGTGACTATGAACCATGGGCGGCGTAGTTGGGCTCTATACCTCTTAGCCTGAACAATTGCTATAAGGTTTAGGGATATTATTTGTAAAACAATCTAAACATTTCACATTATTTCACGGTATAATCCATATATGGTCGACTACTATTGAAATACCTAGTTTTTCTGTACAGCGGCGTGCTTAGGGATTTCAAGAGGTGAGTTTCCAGTTGTTGTTTTTTTTGCTCAAGAATGATTGCGAAGAATGTGATGGACTGAAAATGCGCGATTTTTTTATTCACACCGAACAAACTGTTTAACGTTCCGAAAATGTGTTAACCTATTAATCATTGGCAAATAAAGTTTCGTATTTCGTCTGCCAAGGAAGGATGACCGCAGCCACACTGCGCACGCTCCCTGCACGTCACGCACCATCTTCTTGACCGTTGGCAATTTCTTGAATTTCAATGAAAACCCTCGCCCTAGTGTTTGAACCTTTATATGAAAACCTTACTCACCCAAAGATGGTTTTATATCACAGGCGAATGTTTAGTAGAAGGGGACATTAAATCACCGTGTAGACAAGAATGCAGGGAAGATGAAAAACACGTGATAGAAGACGCAAATAACCGTCAATGCAATGATCCCGCCAAGCCAAAATGTTGTGCGTAAGTAAAAAACTTGATATTTATAATTTATATAGAGTCACAGGAGACCACCTGTTTATTGCTAGACCACCAGTAACATCTACCGTAGTGCTATAGACCACTGACGAATCGCCATTCCATGCACTGACCAGCTCAAGCTACCCAGGCTTTCCTAGTTCCTAGCCTTACATGACGTCAAAGAGTGGTGACGCTTAGCGAATTCAAATATTAACCTTTTTTAGAATCTTCTTCACTTTTCTTTCAGTCTAAAGGTCGAATACAATAAAAGGAAGAAAGATGTCTCCATCATGGTTTAAGATGTTGTTCAGTGGCCTTTATTCGAGATGTGCGCAGAATTTCAACCGAGACGAGTACGCAGGTCCACGCGCGTTGTCCTTTACAGCAAAAAGTTACACATGTGTAGTATTATCACCAACTTAGAAACAATATAACTAGTCAGTCTGTAGGCATCCTTTCACCCCGGCCAGCAATACAGACACATGCCGCATGCACAAAATATCCCGCAAAACGAAAAAATGTTGTCATAGAAAAAAAAGAACATTTATGCTTTAGTRAAGGAGTGAATTGAAAGATAAAAAAGATCTTTTGTCTATTCAATTCATTTTTACTAAATACAAATGTTCAATTTCTCGAAAAATTTTTTTTTTCCAATTAAATGAATGTCAGCCATCTTGACTAAGGTTCAAAAAGACAAAGTATACTCTCATCAGATACTGAATAATAAAAAAATGTACGACCAATATATAAATACACTTTTACCGGCTTCATTTGTGTGACGTCTTGCGTGCTAATTGGCTGATTAGAGCGCGTCAATAAAAGGACATGCAACTGTACACACGTCATGACCCTGTAAGTCAAGGCACGCTCCTGCGCTTTAATAAACACAGAAAAACTATGTATTTCTCTAGACCTCGACCATGTCCTGACGCTGTACGTATGAAAGATGGTGACTATATCATTGCACCATTGCTACGCAGGGACTTGTTTTCGGTACAGGCATCATTAGACCAGTTCACGTCTGACTGGTCAATAACCTATCAAGATAGAAGAATGTATTGTATAGAGCTTGTCGATCGCTGAAAAAGATGTTTTCGCCATTTACATTGAAAACCATCATGGCGGCCATCGCGAAATAGGACTCTCCACTTGGTGCTGTAACCAACAATTATCTCTTGATCGTTTTCACATGAGATTCAAAAGACCGGCGGCCATGTTAGTTGAAGGAATGAACAATATATCATCATAACTCTTCGCGCCAGTAGGCGCATAAGGCCTATGAACAATATATACCAATGAAAAAAAAAATGGTTGAAGGTCCTTCAAGATGGCCGCAGTGACGTATAGTGACAACGAAAAATTAAGCAAATATAAGTTCCATTTTAACCGTTTTATTTTGTCAAACCAAAGGTTTCACACCGTACATGACTAACACACGTAGAATGAATATAAACGTGATGGTAAAAAACCTGACTAACCGGTTTCCCATCATTCCATGTCAGTTATGAACGCCTTGAAAGCCTCCCATTTTAACCAATCTGTATTGTTCTAATGAACAAGGACTTTTTATTGTCAATAACATATACTTATAATGATAATAAAGTTTCGAAACAGCATGATCTTTAGACATGTTGGCGTTCTGTATATTCCCGAATGGGTCTCGAAGAGTTMAAATAACGCTTGCTTTATGTTGAAGTGTATAAAAACTAAGGACCTGCACGCTCTTTCTTTCGTCACAATAAGACGTCGAAACTATCATTGTCCACAACTATATTCCAGGTGTGTAAATATACTATTTTCTCGTTCTATAGTGTCACCAAAAGACCCAAAGATGTCATTTCCTCTTAGTGACGAACACTAAACGAGGGCAAGTTACAATCTTACTTTTCAATGATCCAACTGAGGATACGATTATCATGTAACTTCAGTAATCGAGATTTACTGAGAACAACAAGACATCAAGACTCTTGATTCAGGTTGAATGAGCGCTGCGGAATTTATCATAAAAAAGACGTTGTTCTTTTACAAAGTTCTCGGCTTCCTTATCGTTACGGCATTCAAGCGCTGAAAACGTAAGCAAAAATCAATGTAAGTGCGACAAGAAGGTGACTTGGCTGGTATAAAACATGGTCGAAACAAACCCTAAAACGTGAGTGATTTTTACGTCAAAGATTAGACTGGCATCATTAAGCTTGGATATGTGGTAAAGGATTAATATTACTATATAATATTAGTAGCAGTCTTCTGATTGACTATTGAACACTGGTCTATTCGTGATTGGCTACTCTACACCATTGCTCCGCCTCGTTCTAGAGCTAGTAGGTGGACCTTGTTTTTATGCACCGCGAACTCAACGCATTGCCATGTTTCAAATCATTACATCTCTTCCTTTATAATATGCTGGACAAAAAACTCTAAAGAAAGAGCACTTTTCTGGAGCTGATTCGTAATTTCATGTTCAAACCGTATCCGCCGATATTTTTTCAAAGTGCAACATTTTCTGTGGTAGAAAAACTTACTTTCAAAAGCAGTCCCTTCAAGACTGGGTTGCATTAGGTTAAGAGTGATTTGTGGTTCGTTAGCAAATCCACCTTCGTTCTGTTCTTCTAGGCTTGCCAGGGTGTTGAGAGACAAGACAGCAAACCCTTCAATGTCATCATTACTGAGGACATCATAATCCAGCACCGTTAACACTACACAAGCACCTTCAATCTTACAAACATCTACTGGTACAGGGCTAAAAGGAAAATAAGATAGGATAGAAATAATACAACAAAAAGAATGAAAACAAGTAAAAAATGAAAAAAAATAATGAATAGATGAAATATAATGAGAATGGAAGAAAGGAAGATTGCAAAGAAAACAAAGTAATGGACCCTTATCATTCAACAAAGTACTTACAATGAGAACTTTTCGTCAAACAAAGGAAAAAGAGTGTTCTTAACGACTTTGGATTTTTGTTCCAATCGCTTGCCAAATAGATGAGTGGGCTGTAGACGTAGGATGACGTAAGGATCTGATAGACCTACAATCAAATTACTGATTATTAGCTTATACAAGACAATTGTGTYTCTGAAAGTCAAAATATATCAAATGCCAAAATACATGGTAGCGCGCATATGGCTCTTGTGGAGTTAAGCTGCGAAAAGATTGAAGCGCGCAATACTATGTACAGATAGTAAAACGTTTTCTAGCAATTCAACTCACCGGAAAACAAGAAGCTTACGACTCACCGTTTGTATCAAGAGCTTTAAGATTCCGAGCATTTAACACTGAAATCAAAAGAATAAAAACCGCTTGTGTTCTTCAGAAAGTCTTTAATCAAATAATCATTACGTGCTAACTTACCCTCGATATGGACTGTACTGTTTGACAGATCGTAGAAAGAACGCAAGGTTATCGCTCCGAACTCTTCTGGAGTCTCATCCTGTAAAGTAACGAATAAATTAACTCATCATTCATAAACGAGGCCACTGGAGCAAATGCTTTAACGGGACAACTTTCAAAGCTAAATACAAAACCTGAACGTTGGCGCGTAAGGTATAAAGGTTTAGTGTTCGTTTTCTCGTTTTCGTTTCGTTTCAAATCGAAACTGTGATTGGTCCTCCTGAGGCAAAAAGCGAAACCTCACAAAGAGATCAAATAATAGATTCCTATGACTTAATATTGACGTTAAAGCTACACATACAGTGAGGCAAGACTAGGGAAAGTGAACATCATCAGAATGGCTGCTATTGAATGACGACATCGCTTCTGGTTGATTTTTAACAGAGCAACGAATTTCGAATGAATTACATTAATACCCGATATGAAATTCCCTCGATTAAAGTATAAAGTAGAAGTAAAAATGTGAAAGGTATAAATAACGATAAGAAACAAAGATGAGATAATTTCTCCATACCTGTCGTTCACACATGGTCCCGTAAAACATTTCTATAAGTCGAGGTGTCGTCATACAACGAGTACCAAGAGAGTCCATGATGCCCTGCGTAACATATAAATATGGTTTACTTAGAAATGACTTACAGCAGTCTTAGAAGCACTAGATAAACAGGACAGTAAGAGAGACAGACAGGACAGTAAGACAGACAGACAGGACAGTAAGACAGACAGACAGGACAGTAAGACAGACAGACAGGACAGCAAGAGAGACAGACAGACAGGACAGCAAGAGAGACAGACAGACAGGACAG